TATTTGTGATAAATTCACATGATATTTAAAATTTTACTTTCTACTAACAGTATTAAGTTTTATTAGAAATTTAGATGTGTCACTAATAGCGTCTCGTTAATACTCCTTTATCCGATACTTTTTTGCGTCGACAACGTTTACCAACAACACGTAATGCCTAAAAGAAAAACGATAGAAAAAATATTTTTACAAGTTGTGAATACAGACGCATTGGATGTGAAGTTTGCAGCCTCCCCGGGGCGACCCGCCTTCCCTTCGCACCAATATTTGTGAAAATATCTCGCAAACTTTTAAAGAGGACGGAATCTTCGAGAACTCGCAAATATATTCAAGGGGAACCTATTATACCATTTTAATTTCGCTCAATGCAGATCCAGACATTTTCATTTCCTTCATTTTCAGGATTTAAATTTAGTATTTGAAAGTTAACCAACTGAACCGAATAATAAGTATGACTGAATTAGAAATAAAATATTGTAAAAGAACAAAATATACCCCTTTAGACAAACAAAATTCGTTAGAAAATTCCTAACTTCGATTTACTACACGTGTGAATTTATTTATTGCCCGTAAATCCGATTTGAGTTGTAAAAGTAAAAGGCAGTAAGTGTAGTTTTAAATAAAACTAAGTGCACGAAGTTGTAGAGCGGATTTACCGGAAACGGACGCGTCGACAGCGGCCGTCGTTTCAGGATCGTTCCACGGTTTCATTCATCCCTTAGTTAGGCCCTTTTGTAAGTGAAGACAGTTTTACGCGGAAACTCTACACTAGAAACCATCCTCCTACCGGTAGTGCCCTCCCGCTCGCTCGTGCAAAACTAATATTCGATAGACAGAAACAAACGAACAAAATCAATACTGTCTGGAGCCCGCCCACCGGTTCAACTCGGCAACTGCGCTTCCTCACTGTAAATTCGATAAAATAAAACTGGGTAAAAATCATTAAAATCGTATATTGGCGTTAAAAAGCGAAATACAGACAATAGATAATGCGCCTATAACAAAACGAGAAGTATGAGAATCTTATATAGAAAGCAAGCAACACATGTTTTGCACGTGGTCGGATCACGTTACAATGTTTACCTGCGAACGCTTAACGGTCAGGTGAGATCCGCCGCTACTCTTCTCGCAAACTACGTATAGAGTCGGTGATTGACCTTTAAGATAGACATTTGGGATTTTTTCATAGTACAAACTACTCGACTTGTAGGGTTAAGCAAATTGTTTATTGGTACACTAGAGTATTAGTATAATGTACTCCAAGTCCCGGTCCATGCGATGCACATATTCAGCGGAGGTAGGGTCGGAGGAGCCTGCGGCTACGGTTTGCATTTTTATCAACCATCGACGACAAGCAGCAACATTTTATTTTGCGTGCCATAAATATGAAAGAACTGAAGACGAACACACGGTAAAATAAGGTACTACATTTTCATGCAAACTTATATGAAACTATGCATAGTAAGTAGGGACATCTTGTCTTTTTAAAAATATAACATATTGTGGAAATTGAAGAAGAGGGGATATTATTGTTTTAATGATTGTTTTTTACGTTTACTTTAATTATTGAAAATAAATTTTAAATTAAGTTTAAATTATTTTTTCCTTTAATAAAATGATTAATCAACCCAAAGATTGCATTTTTTAGTTCTTATCTTATTTGTAGCATATGTTAAGTCAACGTATTATGTTTTATATTTCGAAAAGTTTTTAATAAAAAAATTAATATCATTAATATCAAAAGGTATTTATTTTGTTTAATCCATAAACATGATAACAACATATGTAGCTATGGTAGAAAAACTAGTACTTTAAAAAAATAGAATTACAATTTTCTGCTATTTTAAACTTAATGTCAGCCTTAAACTGAAAAATTATGAATTCGTCGTGAAAAGTAATATAATGTAGTGGGCGAGGACGCTTGAAAGTAGAGTGATTCTCCTGAAGCTTAGAGTATAAGCCGTATTATAACCAGTCTTAAGCGACACAAAATATTATTAAAGCTTTTATGTTATATTTTATATGATTATAGTGACCCACTCTTGCTTCACTTAGCTAAGTCTAACAACAGTCCGGGAGTAGAGTCTTTCAGTAAGTTTTTGCTTTTAACTGTTATATCCCACGAGAACCACTTTATGTACTGTTAAAAACCCTATGTCACTACAGCCAACAAGTTAATAAGTAACACAGAATATTGTAAGGTTGTAAGTTTTTGCGTTATATTAGTGATTACAGAAACTCAATCTTACTTATTGAGGCCCAAAATATAGCCCGTGTATTTTAGTAAGTTTCTCCAACATAAAAGACGGGTGTTATAAGTTTTAACGTGTGTCGCTTAGTAGTGCCCAAACGGGTGAACCGATTTTAATTTAATTTTGTTTTTTTTTTGAAGGTGACTTAATCGAAAGTCTTCCTAGCTATAAATCAAGAAAAAAAAGGTAAAAGGATTTGAGCAACTTTCACAGATCTTATCCATTCGAAACTTGGTATCCCGTTACTTCAATTACATTGCCACGATATGGTAACCATGGCCTGATGCTGGAGCTTCACTTGGAATCTACAAGATACTCAACTTTTTACTGAAATACTGCAGAGATATCGTGTTAAGGCTCATTGGAATGGATAGGCTATTGTGTTGGGGTTTTTTTTAATTTTTAATTTAATTTCTTGTTGAATTAAAATAATATTGCACGAGAATTTGTATACAAAATACAACTTTTTTCTTAAAATTAAATCGATTTATCACTCTGTTACTGTGTTATAGAAGGACAAACTGAGAAACATATTCGTAATTTTATGCTGTTAAAGAAAAATCGTAACTAAATTTTAAAAATTAAAAGAAAGGAAATGAAACTAAAACTTTAATTAATTATAATCGGATTGATTGAAGTTTTAGTTTAATAGTCATTTAAAAGTTAAAAGTTTTAAGGGTTTGTATGTCAAGTTATTGTTTTAAATTTATTTATAACTAGCAGAACGCGTGACTTCGCTCTCGCTAAAACTACAAAAACACTCTAAAAAATTAAGTTTCAAACAAAACTTTCATTCCCTATTTTACCCCCTTATTTGATGAATTTCGAAAAATGCTATAACATTTATGTATTTATTTAATTTTATTAAAGAGCATTAATATAGTTTAAAGTAATTCTGATACAATCTATCTGTAATCTGATAAACCAAGTTACAAAATATAATTTTTTGGGTTATATCCCATATATTATATCGTGTTTCCCGTTGGAATGAGATAGTCTCCTGCGGTAAAAAGCCTATGTCACTCTCCAGACCTCCAACTATTTTTCCACACAAAAAAATCACGCCAATTTGTCACTCTGTATCAACGTGAAAGAAGGACAAACAAACAAATACACTTTCACATTTATAATATTAGTATGGATTTCTTCACTTTTTTATCACTAGAATAACAACTATTGTAATTTCTTTATTAATGCAACACATCAAATTAACTAAATAATAAATCATAATTGCGAAAGTTTCCCAAGATATGGGAAGCCTGTATATTGTCACGGTAGCATGGTAGCAACAGGTTCATTGCCATATAGTTCATATTATATGATCAAACGAACTTCCAAGTGAAGTTCGATCATTATTATATGAGTCGCTTCATTCGAAGATATTATTTTTACCCTGTAGTCCCCTTTCCTTGCGCTAGCAACTACGCACGTCTTTAGATAAGTTTTTTAAGTACCTACATTTTTTTTTGTGTTTACCCACGTTTTAACTATTTCAACTTCGGTTTTTGATCGTGTAGTTTAGTCATTATTTTAGAGAACTCGATTTTTTGCAAATCTCTTGAGGGCTTTTTGGGTGGGTAGGGAACAAAATATCTTCGAATGAAGCGACTCATATAATAATGATCGAACTTCACTTGGAAGTTCGTTTGATCATATATTATATTTCGTCGCTTCATTCTTCAGATATTATTTTTACCCTGTAGATTTTAAGAGTTTATATGAGATTTGCAATGTTACGTTTCAATTAAAATAACAAGGATTTTTACAAAATGAACGTTTAATCTTAAGCAAAAATAAAGTATTGATAGACTATACTATAATAACTAATTTAAATCAAATATTTTTGCATATTGATTCTGCAAATTCTGCTTCATTAATCACATTAAGTTTGTAAAATTTAGCAAAAGTTTGAGAACGACTCGTCCATCCCGCAGCTTTCCGTATGGTATCAATACATACCCCAGCGGAATTTGCAGAAGAAGTTGAAGCGTGTCGTGTACTGTGTGCACTGAATATTGAGGTATTAACACCACTTTCTGATAAACCAATTTAATCCATCGACTTATCGTTTGAGCTGTAGCCGTCCTGTGAGGCTTTTTAATTGTCAGTATTAAATTATTTTTGTTTTTGTCTCTCAATTTCTTAGTAACATGGATATAATCTGTAAGTACGGTAGCTGGACAAATATTTTTATTCTCAATGAAAAAAGGCAAATAAAGTATGGTTGTTCTCTTCCTGGGGCTGAAGTTTTAATAACGTCAGTTATTAAAATTTTCACTCCAGCATCTGAGGTATATATGTTACTTATCTTTATCAACGATAGAGTTTGAACTCGCTGTGCCGTACACAAAGCAAGTAGTATAACTACTTTCTTTGTTAATTGACTCAACTCAAGATCTCTATTTGGGTACCAATTAGAGATATGATTGAGTACTATCTGTGGGTCCCAAGTGTGAGTGTATTTTGGTCTACTTGGCTTGAGTTTGTAGGCTCCTTTTAGCAATCGCTTAATGCATTCATCGGACCCAATATTATTGCCCAGAAGTAAAGAGAGCGCAGATCTATGAGAATTTAGTGAACCGTACGAGGCACCTTTATTGAATTCTTCAGTTAAAAATGATATTATCTTTGCTACCGTACTGTCAAAAATATTCATGTTATTTGTTTTACAAAACTGCCACCAGAGTTTATATGATACACTGTATTGTTTCTTGGTATTATCAGAAAGTGACGCCAACATGAGATCTATAGCTTGGACTGGGATGTTACGCCGAAGGAAGGCTTCTCGGAGAGTATCGCCGCAGCCAGCATAAGATGGCTGTGTAGAGGATGGTGATAGTTCCTGAAATTGGATTGAAGTAAAAATTTACTGGGTTCAAATATATTATTTCAGAACAGATTAATTCTCTCAATATGGGGAACCATGGTTGTGACGACCACCATGGAAACACAAATATACCACACGCTTCATCGTTTATTATTTTATTAAGACATTTTGGTATTAACGAAAATGGAGGGAAAGCATAAAAAAATTTATGTTTCCAGTTAATGGTAAATGCATCGACAAAAGATGCATCTGGATCGGGAAACCAGGCTGCATATATTTCGCATTTAGCGTTAATGCGAGAAGCGAATAAGTCAATCTCAGGTTGACCCAATTTACACAAAATAGTTTCAAAAGCTTTGTCTGATAAACTCCATTCTATATCAGGGTTAATTTTTCTTGATTCTGCATCCGCTTCAATATTTTCTTTAGTATTAATATATGACGCAAATATCCATATATTTCGCTTCTCACACCACTGCCAAATTTTAAAAGTAAGGTCGTTTAAATGAGGATATTGTATTCCTCCCATTCTATTAATATAACTTAAAGCTGTATTATTATCAACTCGTAACAATATAGCACAGTCTGATAATTCTTTAGCGAAGGTTTTTAATGCTAGAAAAATAGCTAATAATTCGAGGTAATTAATATGACAATGACTTTCGGTCTCTTTCCAAGATCCATGAGCTCGTTTGCCGTTACAATAAGCTCCCCATCCTGTTTGTGATGCGTCCGAAAATATCTCTAATTTAAAATCTGGAATTTTAGTGAAGTTAGAAGTTTTAAATATATTTAGTAACCACCATTGTAAGTCATTAATTATGCATTTTTCTAGATTTATTTTGCAGTCATAATTTTGAAATTTTTTCAACAAAAGGTATTTTTGACGCTCTAGTGTTTTTGTATATAACCAACCGTACTTAACGGCGGGACATGCTGCGGTAAGTACACCAATCAAATTAGCTAATTCCCTAATTGTACAAGGGGGTAAACTTAAGAATTTTTTAACAAGCTGTGCTATAGTGTGACGTTTCTCAATAGGTAACGATATAGAAAGATTAGTGGTATTATAAATGAATCCTAAATATTTACAACTTTGTTCAGGTATTAATGAACTCTTCTTATAATTTATTACAAAACCAAGGCAAGTTAATATTCTTAAAGTCTCCTTGACGTTACTAAGGCACTCGGTATAGGTTTTTCCTATGCATAACATGTCATCAAGGTATATGATTGATTTGTAACCTTGAAGTCTAAGATAGGTCATAACTTCCTTCATAATTTTGGTAAATACCCTAGGGGCAATGGAAAGACCATAAGGCATTGCATTAAATTCGTACGTTATAATATCGGATTTATCATTTTCAAATTCAAAACGCAGGTATTTACGAAAAGATTTCATGACGGGAACTAATAAGTAAGCTTCTTTTAGATCTATAGAGGCCAAAAAACCATGTTTGGGTATAAGCTTCGACGCTGTCCTATGATCTTCCATTTTAAAATGAATTTTTTCTATAAACTTATTTAATAATTTAAGATTTAAAATAAATCTTTTTTCACCATTTGCCTTAGGTGCTAAGAATATTCGAGAAATAAATTGATCTTTCACCGGTTTACAGGTGCTAATGGCACCCAGACCTAAGAGTCTGTTAATGGCGATTGTCATATCACGTCTTTCTTTGTTAGACCAACTCGTCTTGGCGAAATTATATTGGATTACATCTTTGATAAAAGGAATATCTATACCTTGGTTAATCCACCTAAGAACTGTCCTATTGTTCGTTATTTTTGTCCAGCAATTATAATAAAATTGAATTCTACCTGCATGTACCTGGGTCACTGACGTCGCGTTGAGACACGCGGCTTGTAAGTGTGACTGGTCTTCGACTGGCTGGTAGAAGTTGGAATGCGGTAGCTGGTCCGCTTGTGACCTCCTCGCCCCCTCCTCTGTTCGGCTGGGAACGAGAAGGTCCCTGCCAGTTTCCCTGGTAGCTGGACCGGTTAGCGTTAGGTTGCGCTCTAGAATTATTGGAAGTGGAAGGCTTTGGCGGAGGCAAAGCTTTCTTAATCAGCTCACCTTGTTTGACAATAGTCTTAGAGGCTTTTATTTTTTCTGAGAGATCGCTACCGAACAGCGTATTGTCGCGTTCGGTGCGTTCTAAAAATTGTAAAAAAGATTTATCGAGGCCAGGGAGTATAAATTTGATTCTTGTCTCAGTATTTTGATGATGTAAATCAGATAAAATTCTACATCCGTCACTTATAAATTTTATAGCCTCAATTTTGCTTCCATCGTTAATAAGCAAATGCAAACCTCGGTTAATTGCAGTAATACCCACGCCCAATTGTCGTTGGGTAGCGGCCATTTTCTTATCCCGAGCTCTACCTGATTCGGGTATAGCTGCAGAAATCTCCGGATTAAGTATTGGCGCTTGAAGCCAAGTACAATTCTCTGGGATTAAATAGTTTTTCAAGAGTACCTCCCTGTTATCTTTCGACATACCTTGTTTTAACAAAGGTGACCATATTTTTACGAGGCTTTCGTGAATTTTCTCACCAAACTCTGGGGTTTCGTCCGTGATTTCCCCTAATGCTGCCAAAATACTTGGATCCAAAACGGGAACAGTTGAAGAATTCGCCACATTGTTATCGCCCGGTGAATTCATACAGACTTCAGGACCAGTAACCCCTTCATTTGGTGCTTCCATTGATGTCCCAGGCTCGGCGTCAATAACCGAGCTCATAGTTACGGGATCCCCAATTCCAATTGAATCTGGAAATATTTTTCTCTGTCATGTGGGTAGTCTTAACTTTTACTTTATAAATATAAGAACAGCATTATCTGCGATTCTAATTTATAGAAATTATAACTGTCTTATTTTAAAAACTATTGTGTTATCATCTCGGATAACCTCCCAGTACAAATTAACCTTCGTGCTACCATCACGGATAACCTCCCGGTATAAATTAACCGTCATGTTACCATCTCGGGTAACCTTTAGGCATTATTAACTTAATTAGCCTTTGTAATGCCATCTCGGACATTCTCCAGGCGTTTTTATCATAGTTAATATAATTATTACTATTTAAATACTATTAGTACCATTTATAAGGACTTAAGCACCAATTTATAGATGAAACTTGTACTTACTTGTATCTCTTGTTTCTTGTTCCGAATCCGATGAAGGCGATAGGCATCTTATCCGACGACGGCTTTTGTTTTCCAACTTTCGTAATTTGCTTTTATAATATTCAATCTTATCTTTAGTTTTACGTTTTGGCATAGTAACACTTTATACTACACGTATACGAAGTATATTGAAGACGTCCGTTCGTTGCTGCGCACGAAAAAGGAATGGCTAAACTACACGATCAAAAACCGAAGTTGAAATAGTTAAAACGTGGGTAAACACAAAAAAAAAAAATATGTAGGTACTTAAAAAACTTATCTAAAGACGTGCGTAGTTGCTAGCGCAAGGAAAGGGGACTACAGGGTAAAAATAATATCTGAAGAATGAAGCGACGAAATATAAATACAGATATACAGTAATATACTAATTCGTTAGATTGAAAATAGAAAATTCATTAATATCTCATAACATGTAGCAGTACATTAACAATAGATTTTCATATAATACGACGCCAAAAATAAACATAGCCATTCAACTTTCACATGCCTTTAAATTTTCTTCGATTATAAAAGAAATGTCTAAATAATAAAGTTATATAAAGTTAAAAGGAAATCGGTTTTAAAACATTTTTTTAGTCATAAATAAGTTGGCGTGACTACCTATTAACATCAGTGTACGTAGAAACTGGCCATTAAAAATACATAAATTTTACGCTGTAATAAAACTGTTCTGTTTTACATTAAATAAAAGTCATTATAATACATCTCTTATTGTGTAAATATTTTTAATTAAATTAATAATTTTTAGTCATAATTTTTTTTTTATTTTTACTACGTTATAAGTAGTTTTTCTTCTTCTCTATATTATATATCTATGTATAAATCTTAAATTCTTCTTTCGGGAGAGAATGGATAAAACATATCAAGAATACGAAAAAAAATATTTTCATACAAAATTCATTCAATTTATACAAAATTGAACCTATCATCTGCGAAATAGAGGATAGTATAAAAGAATATAGTATGTTATAACCAATTCCTACTCATGTCGCACTTCGCTACGTTAAACCTCAAAGTGGTTTAAATAATGTAACTTTTAAATAAAATCGGGAAAATGCTTACAAATTATTTGTGACCGATATAAATTAGTTCTCAATTCGATTGAATGCCAATTGTTAAGCGATTTTCATATATATTTTTTTAATTTCGTTTCTAGCGACTCACCCTCGCTTCGCTCGGGTACGTCCCTAGCTTGGTTCCCCATACAAAATTTCATCCCCATTTTCACTCTCTTAAGGGATGATTTCCGGGATAAAAAGTACCCTATATCCTTCCCAGGGTCTCAATCTTCTTACCAAATTTCATCTAAATCGGTTCAGTAGATCCAGAGATTACACCCTACAACGTCACAAACTCACACACTTTACCTCTTTATAATATTAGTATAGATTACCTCATAAGTGGTTCAATATGGATTTCGAGAAAAATACTGCTGGTTGGGTTACTTAATTCACAACTATTAATTTAAACATTTAAAATACTTTTAAAGCAGGTTTAGCTTAGTTTATATATTTATAAATAATTATATTAACTAGTATAAAATAATTTGACTTTGTTGTTAAAGTTCTTAAAGAGGTTTATATTTATTTGCTCTCATAGCTATGCAAGTAAGCTACGTCTCATTCTAACGAAGTACGCCATATGTGTTCCGAATATGAAATGCTACTTCCCCTTCTTTTAGATATGTGCCATGATAGCGTTCTGTCGATTTATTACCACCCATTAGGTCTTCACGTTGTATTTGGAACCTCCTCTAATTGTGTCTGTTAGTGAATGCACGAAGAATTGAATAAATAGTTTAAAAAAAAAAAGTTGTATATCTTATAACAAGATTAGTCAGTATTTTAGGCTACAGTTTCGTATTTTATTTGGCATTAGATACTTAATTTTACATAATGTTACTAAGCAAGATATTTATCATTACAAAATATTGCCTTAAGTAAACTAGAGAGATAGTTCAAAATTAGGTTCCCATTTACAATAAACATCAAATTTTATTTAAACTTGCTGTTAAATTTCACAAGAAACTATTAAAAGTAATATAGAAGTAACGCTCAATTTAAAGTCGTTCTAGCTGAAAAGAGACGGATTTATTTAATATTTATTGTATTATACGCAATGCAGCACCGCATTTAAAATGATTTGTTAGATTTGAGTTCTTACAATATTTAAGAAAAGCATAACCAGCAAGCAATTCGGTACTCACTTTAAAAAAAAACTACTATATGAAATGTATGCGCTAATATTAATGAAATTTTACAACACCTTAACACCTCCAGGTAAATTTCTAAGAAATTAATTAAAATTCTAAGAAATCTATTGTTAACTGTAACGCCGGCGTGTCCGCGGTCGTGGAGGGATTAATAATAACTCAGTTACGTTCAGGATCGTAATGAGTAGGCGACATTTATTATCTGAAGATTAAATAGATTTTTCAAACGTGCGTCATTAAATATTTGTATTTAAATTTTATTATATAAATATACTCGTATATAAAAATCATAAACTGTACCTATTTCATATTCTTGTCTTACTATGATTTACCTAAATATTAAATTCATTATCATTATTTAAATAGATATGTTTAATCTGCTAAGTAATAAATAGTTTAAATTAAAAAGAAAAAAATAATAAAGGTAGAAAATAGAAATATAATAATGGTCTATAATAATATAATAATGGTCTATATGTAATAATTTATTATTTATTTATTTATTATGAATAATCCTATCTAGTAGATGTAAAGAAAATTAAATTTTACAAACAGATAAACAGACTCGTAGTATTTTCAAAGCATGAATATACGTCCTAATAATAAAATAAAATGATTATAAAACACGTGGTTATATAAACACTCATCAATATATACAAAGTAGCATCTATGTTGTGCACATTGTATGTCGTCTCTAAAAATACCTTCCTTACCTAACACAAATGTCGTCATTTAATGTTATTAACATGTTAATATTATGCGCGTTTTGTCATATTCAATACATTCATGTGTCCAAGACAATTAAAATTTGCAAGTAGTGACGTTCTCCATTAATTATTTAGTTAGAGCATCCTTAGCGCGACGTACAATAAATGGGCCACGCTTATATTCCTTATATTCAGAGGACAGAGTGGGCGCGTGATCGGAATAAGTAACCGACATCGCCAGCTATCTTCTCTACATAAAGATTTATACCCATCTGTAACTGAGAAGCGACGCGACAGTTTTTCCCAATTATAAAATGTAAGCGGGTCATTTATTAACGTCTCGTCAAAGAAATCACGACCGCTCGTTGATCGGTTTCTTTAAACTAAACTTTGAAATGTTACTTTCTCGTCCATAGTAAATATTTGTTTATAAAAACTTATTAACCGACTTCCAAAAAGGAGGAGGTTCTCAATTCGTTGGAGTCTTTTTTTTATGTATGTTCACCGATTAGTCAAACACGCCTAAGCCGATTTAGAAATATATTTTTTTGTTTCGAAGGGTACAACTTCCCAGGTGGTCCCATTTAAATTTTATCCAAATCGGTCGAGCGGTTTTTAAAAAATCAACAATAAATTATTTTTCTAAATAAATCTCTTAATCGAATATGTTATTAAAAAACTTTCTTCTTACAAATTACCTGCTTAAGACGTCTAGTATAAAAATGAAAAAATAAAAACTTTTCGAAGTCTGTGCCAGCCGACAATATTTTAATATATGAATATCTAATACGTAAATATGATTAAGTATGAACTCTAATTATAGTTAAAATATTATATATCAATTTGTGATATATTTTACGTATCGAAATATATTAGATTTGCTTTGCATCGGCTGGCACCGACTTCGAAAATATCTCATTAGATATCTACCTACTCTAAATGAAAATCCCCGTTTAGTTATTGTTTACATTTTAGTGCCTGGAAGACTTTTTTTTATTTATAAAGGAGGGTTTAATAGATATCTTAAAATGATATTTATATTGTTAATAGCGACTCACTCTGGCTTTGCTCGGATTTGTCCCTATGTACGTACCTATATGTGTAATATAAGTAGTTTTATAATAATGTATGGAAGTCTACCCGATTTGTTGATATTTATGATTACTACTCCGCTCCCTTGAGTAGTAGCATGATGATATATAACCTATAGCCTTTCTCAATAAACGGGCTATCTAATGCAAAAAAAAATTTTCAAGTCAGATGTGTAGTTTCTAAGATTAGCGCGTTCACAAAAACGCAAACACTACAAATTCTGCCTCTTTATAATATTAGTATAGATTATTTATTTTTAAATGATTTCGTAAAAATAATAAGCATTTACTATACGAACTCGTAAATAGAATAAACCATATTTTGAATGTGTAATAACTCTGTGTTTGTAAGTAGCAGTATAACTTCACTGACAGAGAAAGCCATTTAAAATATGACTATACCTGAAACGACTAATGTAAATAATAGAAAAACTTATTGTAATATCAAAACACATTTCGCAAAATCTTCATGTCGTTTTCTCCTTTCTTAGGACGAGCACATACGCACGTCACCAGCTCCATATGCATTACGCAGTTATATTTATTGCAGAAAATTGCATCGTTGTTAATTAAACCAGTAGGTAAATAAAATAACCATTCTTATAGCTAATCCTTACAGTAGATGTAAATATATAAAAGAAAAATGTTAATAAAAATAATAATTTCATACATTAAATATTTCAATATTTTTATGATAATATTTTGATGACTTATTTTTTTAAACAAAACTAGGTCCTAGACTTTATATAACATATATACCTAATATTAATATCTGCGATTTCGTATATTGTACATTTTCGCCCTTACTGTATTTACTTGCATTTTTGTTTGTATACGGGACAAAAGCTGAAACCTCCACAAACTAAGGTATACTAAAACGTTTTTAAGTGCAGCATTAACGTGTAGTGAGCGGTGTAATTGCGCCCATCTGATGTTACTACAAATATTGTTTCACTCGAATACCGTTTTCAAGAGCAATTAAGTATATTTGAAAAATTGCTTTTGCAATATCGTTTTACTGAATATGGCAGCTTATTCTTTATTAAAAACGTATTTTATTTGAAAATAGAAAATAATTTAATTA